GGGAAAGTGTGGGGTAAAATACTAATAAGAACACCAAAGAAACATTTGAAAACCTAACGTAACTTCTCGTGCCTATAATAAGGTTAAGAATCGGTTTAAAGTTTACGGGTCCTCAGCTGAATAAAAACGACACGACAACACAGAAAACCTAATAAAACATGACTGAACTTCCTAGTCGGTGCTCGGACCTCCCTTGTATATTCATTAAAAGGAACTTACCTTAATATTGAGGTGTATAGAGTTCAGCGATGGTTGCCAGGAAGTGTTGGAATCTGTCTCCTGTCGTATTTTGAACACTTGCAGGTCCTTCCCACAAGATCACGATCACATATGAAAGCCCTGAGACGTTCTTGATCTTTAACAACGAGAGCCGACACACGATGCCACACCTACCGATTTAACATACAAACTGGAGAACCGTTCCCAACCTTCTCCTTCCCGATGTATAGGAAGAATCACAACTAATGTCGAATCCACTGAAACTTCAAAACTGAAGGAAAGGAATCCAAGCTCAAGGTCGGGGTTCGGATCCCAACCGTATGATTCTTTTGCTGTGAACATGGAAGAGTTTCTGATACCTATTGCGCAGGTTTAAAAAACAGATGGGATTTGCGCATTAATGACACACACACATACACACACACACACACACAGAAAAAAACAGCATGGTGTTAGTAAAATATAAAGGATCCGAATGCTTTTCTCGAAAATTAGAACCCTCAATGAGCTGCTCTATTGTTTATTATACATACTGTCAAGGATCTATTCTTTGCGAAACGAGCAAACGAGCATTGAGATCGCGGGCTCGGGTAGAATAAGGGGGGCAGCTGCACAGTGGGGTGATTTTTTACGGTAAATATTTAATTTCTTCGCGTAAAAAGCACGTAAAGACATCATTTTATTGCTATATTATAAGATATTTGCATTGGTAAATTTTTACAAGTTGCCCATAATGGATTTGGACATGAAGCATACGTTTTTCCAAGGGTTTTGTTTGTATGTGTTTTGAACGATTCTGACTCATTTCTATCTCAAATGAGTCGTTTTTTAGTTTCAGAATCTTGAGGGGGACCTGTAGGAAATCGGGTTTTTGGGTGGGTGGAGGGGGGGGGGGCAAAACCGAGTGATATGCTATATAAGTGATCAAAGTTGGCTCAGATTTTCCGTTTTTAACAAGTAAAGAAGAGCCAAAATTTGAAAATGCCGAGCCAAGTTTTGGCGACAGATGATTATAAAATTCGAATGAATCACACCAAAACTCATCGGAAAACAGTTTTCATCTCAAAATCAGTTTATGTGCTAACACAACCCAATCCAACTCAACCTTTACATATTTTTATAATAGTAAAGCGGAATGGAAGGTTAAATCTGATTTCTTTTCCAGGAAGGTGAAAGTTCACAGCTCCTCGAGGGCCCGTGACACAACACATCACGATTCAGGTAAGTCCAAGTCAGTTTTATATATCAGTTATCGTTGTTGTTGTACTTGGTCGGGAGTCTTACGTCTCCACTGAGTAAGTCGTCGTTACCTCCCGTGTTGAAGATCGGGATCACGTTTGTTGTATAAAGTCACTCGGGGAATTGTCTTGGTCCAGTGTTCTAGATAGTGACTTGCGTATATCATTAACTCAATCAGCTTCAGGAACTTTGAATTCCTTTATGCCATTATTACATGATTTTTAGTATTTTCCATTTCAACATCATACATCCTCTGAGAACGTTGTCCAGTTCTTCTTGGACTTACTAAAGATCAGATCCAGGGTGTATCACAGTGTGCGAATACTTTTTCTTTGTACTTTTTGTAATATGGGATTGAATCTGGATCCAGTAAGATCTTGGTGATCTTTCCCGGTCGTAAAATATGGTGCGCCCTGGCAGTAACGAATTGTTCATCAACGTTATCTTGGTCACAATAGATCCTTCAGGCACTAAAGAAGAAGACTTAAATTGAGTTTGTTTTTGTTGGAATTTGAAAGCATATGGCTGCACCCTCGTGAATCTGGATTGTGTTTTCCGCCTATGAGAAGAAAAACTATAAACTTGCTAGTGGAGAAATATGGTTATTACCCCTGGTATGTTTACATTAAAGTAGTTTTTGGGTAGACAAAGTCTCTTGGAGTTTCTGGAAAGTTGGGGAAAGTGAAGATGGTTGGGTTCAGTGCCGGCCTAACTGCACCTAAATAGGGGTTAGTTTAAAGTGAACCGTACTATTGGCCGTAATGGTCCTTCTGGCCCATCATAACTGTAGGGTCGAGATGGTGTTTATGTTTACGTCACCGTGAACTTTACATGATCAAGATTAATGAAAGGGCTTTATGTCTTAATGAATAGTGTATTTATTTACAATGTTTAAATGTTGTTTTAAAAGGGTCATTCACTATCTAAATCAATTTTATAATTTGTAACAATAATTTACAAATGAGAGCGTGAGGGAGCCGAGGTGAAGAGACCTGTTTGGGTTGAGCTGTGTGCGCTACTCTGAGTCCCCGCGTCTACGACTCGTGTGTGGGGTCAGACCACCACACTGAAATGAGTGACTTAAAAGATGTGATTCAATGTTTTAGTAAAAACAGGGACTATATTTCACTGTCCCATACCTTCCTGCCGGTGGCTGGTGGTGGACGATAAGATGTCACTTGTGTCGTATTTCAATATTTGTTTGTTGTATCTCGTGCTTAAGGGGCTTTTATTGCACCGTTCAGTTGAGAAATAGTCACCTTGCATTTGTTACATTGCATCTTTTATGTGAAATAGATACACGTATAAACGTATTTTAAATACCTATGCAAAATAAATTGATATTCCTGTGTTGTCATAATGAACAAGGGCATAACTTACATATGTATTAAGAACGATTTTCTTTACTGAGAGCTTCAATAACCTGCCAACTTCATCAGGAGAGAGTGACAGAGTGTGTGTGTGTATGATAGCACCAATGAAAGAGGAATTGTGGAGTCGTTTGTTAGTTCATATATTTTACTATTGCATTCAGAACGGAATGTTACAAAGGAAATGTGTATAACATCCTCAGGTAAGAGACATTATAACCAAGAATGTTCACTGGTCAATGGTGTCTGTAGTTCAGGATCTCATTTAGTTTCAATACTGATTCACTCGGAAGGAGACACAGGTTTGTTGAGGGGACTGTACTGTACATACACCTGCAATAATGAACAACACCGCCCTTACTACATGCGTCTCAAAGTGGGTCGAGCCTTTACCTGTGTCTGTGTGAGTGTCCGTCTCTTTCATCTCGTAACACATATGAGAGGAACAACATTCATATTTTGATGCCGGGATGAAATTTAATATAACCTTTCCTGAATCCTCATTTTGAAGACGAAGGTTAAAAATGTGTACATCACTAAGATACAACACAGACACAAGACAATACAAGAGACCACAAAGGATTACATTAAGGCAATACTGTTCTATCTTTTACGTCACGACAAATGGTGAGCGACCCGCCTGGCCCCAGCAAAGTGAAGGTGAAGGATGCTGGCAGTGAGCGTCCAGAAGATTGCCTGCTGACACTATTCATCACGGGGCGGACACACACACACACACTGGCCACCCACCCACCTTCTCTGTCTCGTCCTTTGCAAGTGACCTCCACTCCTCCTGTCTACCACCGTCTACTACTGTCTCTACACTTCTGTCTACCACTGCCTCTATACTTCTGTCTACCACTGCCTCTATACTCCTGTCTACCACTGCCTCTATACTTCTGTCTACCACTGCCTCTATACTCCTGTCTACCACTACCTCTATACTTCTGTCTACCCCCGTCTATACTGTCTCAACACTTCTGTCTACCATCGTCTACTACTGTCTCTATACTCCTGTCTACCAACCGTCTACTACTATAACTGCTCTTTTAAGCGTCCAGCTCACTAGTATGTTGAAGAGGTACTGTGAGGCAGCCGTGTGTGTGTGTCGGCTGGAGAGTGTCTGCCAGTGTTGATGTGTGTAACAAGCCGGCTGAGATCTGTACCGTGTTGTTGTGCCGTTATTGTGGTGGTGTGGTGTGGTGTTGCTGTTATGGTATTGTGGTGTGATATGGTGTTACTGTTTTGGTGCTATGGTGGTGTTGTGGTGTGGTATGGTGTTTCTGTTGTGGTGCTATGGTGTTATGATGTGGTATGGTGTTGCGGTGTTGTGTGGTGTTAATGTTATGGTATTGTGTTGCCGTGATGGCGTTGCTGTTATAGTGTACTGGTATTGTGGTGTTCCTGTGGTGTTCCTCTTACTAAACACACACACACATATATGTATTTATTCTGCCTTGCGTCTGCTCTCCCACGCCCGTCGTGTATTTCTCAACGTAATAACTCCAACGAATAACAAAGGATTTTCCCCAGACTTACTGTGTGGATACGTCACAACAAGGTGTCACAGGAGTTCGATAATCAGTATTTTATGTCACCATTGTCGAGAATTGTGGCCTCCTAGACGGTGTCGTGGCCTCCTAGACGGTGTCGTGGCCTCCTAGACGGTGTCGTGGCCTCCTAGACGGTGTCGTGGCCTCCTAGACGGTGTCGTTGCCTCCTAGACGATGTTGTGGCCTCCTAGACGGTGTGTGGCCTCCTAGACGAAGACGGTGTCGTGGCCTCCTAGACGGTGTCGTGGCCTCCTAGACGGTGTCGTGGCCTCCTAGACGGTGTCGTGGCCTCCTAGACGGTGTCGTGGCCTCCTAGACGGTGTCGTTGCCTCCTAGACGATGTTGTGGCCTCCTAGACGGTGTTGTGGCCTCCTGGACGGTATTTTGGTGCGGCCGAGGATTCACTTGACTTTTAAGGAGTTAGACTTGGATAACCATTGAATGTTTAGTCTTGTTGCTTTGTGTTTATTTGTATAATGTTTTTGTTAATTCATTATATGGGTTTTGTTTTATATTTTAGCTTTGAACATTAATATTGACAATGAAACAGTACCTTGTGGTGGCTGTTATAAGTAAATAGTGTAACTGTCTAGTAAATGTTGGAAAATAAACTAGTTTGTAAAAGACAATGGTTTATTATACAAAATACAGATGTACAAAATCTGTGTGTCGGAGAAAGACACAGAGCTAAAATGGAAATCCATCTGGAATGAGGATCCAACTGGAATTAAGTCCAACTGGAATGATAATCCAAGTGGAATAAATATCCAACTGAATAGGAATCCAAACAGAATGGAATCCGACGGGAATGGAGATCCAACTGGAATGAGAATCAAACTTGAATGAGAATCCAGCTGGAATGGAATTTCTATACAGGTATGTTGTTAGGGCGGCAAGAGGCGGGTCGGCCGTCTCTTGCCGCCCAAGTTTACCTTCATCACTGAGGCTAACACCTTAGGAATATCACATTTTGCTCTAGTCAGAAAAAAACAAAATAAATAATAATAAATAAATAAAAGACGCCGATACTTACATTGTTCTCTCGACAGTTTGTGTCCACCAGTTTATCAGCACCAAAGTTTACTTAAAAGTTTGTGGAAAGATAATAAATATTTAATTAGTTAATTTTCTTATATCTTGACAATAGATTCATAAATAATTATACAAAAGAAAAAATAGAACAATATGTGGCTTTTGTGGTATATATCGTAATAGTAAAATCGCAAAATACATTCTTATTCTTTTGTTAAAATAAATTCTGTTCATGATATACAATATTTTCCCTAACGTGATAATAACTACGAATATCACACGATGCTCTTCGTAAAATTGGAAATAAAATTTCTAGGTTAAGGGTTTAAAAATCCTGACAATATATCAGTCTCACAAAGTACTGTTCCTTTCGTCAGGAAGAAAATTATAGCGAAATAATTCGTTCATAATTTCTCTTTCATTTCCACTTCGTTAATTCTTGATAAAAAATACTAGTTATTATTATCATCTGCAACACGACCAAGGTTCAGTACAACAGCAATAGATACGTAATGTCTTACAGCGAACTAAACAATACTGGAGAGTCGAGGCTGCCACCGTCTGCTGTTTAGTGGTCAACTTCTGGTCAACTTCCTTCAACAGTTAAAGTTGAAGCCTAAAGTTGACTCATTGATCACGTCGTGTTTATAGGTTCCCGACCTATCACTCACATCTGTGTTCTGGAGACAGCAACAGCCAGTCTAGGCACCGCTGTGTTTTGTAGACTCACAGCACATGTGTCAGTTACTGTCGCCCATAACAGACAGACGCGTCAATCAGTGTCAGCTCTGACAGGCAACATACTATAATTTCTCAATACTGTACACTGTTACTCTCATTGCGTCAGATCACACGTGTAGGTGACGGCTGGTAACTGTTAGTCCGTCTTGTTATAACATTCCCGAAATAAAACAACACATCAGGTTACAGCAAAGTAAGGAGGTACACACACACTGCCGGGTACACCTGAGGAATACCGTCCAGTGACTTCTCATTCTCCAAAAACAGATACTGAGACATATTAGTGGTACAGACTTGACGATACTTTTTCGGAACTGTGTGTGTGTGTGTGTGTGTGTGTGTGTGTGTTTTAATGGGCGTAAGGATTAGAGCCGGATCAAGTTTTAGTGTCAAAGATTCATGATTGTCCTATTTACACACACGCACACGCACACACACACGCACACACACACACACACGCACATGCACACACACATGCACACACACACACACGCACACACACATACACACACACACACACACACACAGTTCCAACAACAGTATGGCGACAACTCCCACCTCCCAATGTAACACCTTAAACATCCACAAACTCCAAAGACTTACAAAACATTATAGTCTTCACGGAAGACATATTAGATCATCCTGTTCTTGTTGTGTAAGAAACATTGATCGCCGTTAGTTACCTCAGCAAGAACATTCGTACAAACATTCAACAGAATAGCACAATAAATAGTTACCATCTAGAACAGTTGTCAGGAACAATGTTTACATCATAATCATTAGTAACATTGTTCAGCGACAGAGAATAACACTGACAGTAATATCTTAAATTATTCCTGTCGTGTTGACTAGAAATATCGAAACGTAATTTACGTCAAAGTTTGAGCAGCGGGTAAGAGTCGTCCTCCTCCTGAGCCTCACAGGTCGCGGCCGATTGGGCGAGTGGATCTGAATTTATCGATCAGGGGGAAGAGCCACTGAATGGCTGATTGAGTGGTTTTAACCTCATTTGGTGATTGGATGAGAGATCCTAGACTCGTTATGTGATTGGATGAATAGTCCCAACCTTACTATGGGTGGGTGTGGATGTAAGGTTCTGAAGTCATCTATTGAATGCTCTTATATTCAGTATTTAAACTGGTTAAGTAGTTTTAACCTCATTGTTATTATGTAATTGGTACAGGTATCCCATTCTTTCTGACTTAAAACATTGTGAAGGAATCATAAAGTTAGTGACAGAAGTCGAGTGAGGGAATTAATGGGTTGAGAAGCTGGCAAGTGGATCAGGGCGTCGTTGATTGAAGGAAGATGTCTCAGCAGGAATAACTAAATAAGACAGGCGAAAGACGGATAAAGAACCCAGTGACCGTCTGAGCTGCGGGTAGTAGTTCTCCTAACAAACGAGTTGATAGAGGGAAGATGTCTTAGTCAGAGTAGTTATAGGAATAATCATTTCTCAAACGAGCACATTCTTCCTTTACCATTCTCACTTCCTCGCTGGAGCAGAGGAGACCACTTGTCGATACAGTTCATGTCTTCCGTCCGTGTTGCGTGTGTGCTCTCACCTGAAGCATCAACGAGGTTCTGGCAACACTGTACTTTTTAATAACTAGTGACTCGCTTAACTCTTGAAGCTTCAGTAACTTTCTGGCTATTAACTTCTCGGTAAATGACATGGAATATTAAAGAATGTTCTGCTAGCTATAATAATTCCGGTAAATTGTAAATAAAAAAATCAAGCATAATCTTGGAAACTTTTGAATGGTTTCAGTGAATTAAAACCGAAATTAGAAAGCGTAATTGGTCTGCAAGGAACCATTAGGAACAATGATAAGTTTGAAATAAATTACCCGGGAACATCACTTCCAGAAACATAAATTCTAATATTTAGAATTCTGTAAATCTTGAAAAATGGCGAACTTTAGGGCAATTATCTTCAGTTTCTTCTCTTTCCTTTTCTTCTCATTTCTCTTTTATCATACGTTTTTCTCCTTTCTTCTTCTATTGCTTTCCACTGTTCGCTTAATTAGCCAGTTGGTGTTGAAGCTCTATCCATGCTAGTCTCACCTCTACACCAACCTCTTCAGTGACATCCTTTCTTTTTCACACTTGCCGAAAATTATATAATACCCAAAGATGACGTTCGATAAATAATTTCCTAATTTATTATTTTCTTTTATTTGGTCATTGTGGTCATACAGGATACCCAGTCCGTGTCTTGAAGTCTTAGGAAGTGTCTTGGAGCGCTGTTGTTATTGGCTGCTTGACATCACGAGGCAGTGTGAGGGAGCAACATCTCGTAGCCATGTAAAAACTTCAAACTTTTATGTCTCTTCTGTGTATAAACTCCACATTCTTTTTAATTCCGTCATTCATACCTTTCAATAGAGACAACAAATATAACTAACTTTTAGTCGTCTTCAGTTTTCATTATTTTTACTTCCTGTTATTCTTACGCTTTTATACTCTCCTCCCACAGACACCTGTAACAAGTTTTGACGAGTTCTCCACCATTTTTTAAAGTTGTCAATCAAATACCAAATACTTTATAAACACACACACACACACACACACACACACACACACACACACACACAAATCTATCAATCGTCTGTTCCAACATTATATTTTGTCACCTTGTCAGTCATATACTTAAACTTACAATTGAATGATATATGAGTCGTAATTCCAACCAAATGAAATGTCTTGAGGCAGTGATGCACGGGACACGACTGCCAGTTACGAGGGTCAGAGGGAGCACAGAGAGGCGCTAAGCGTACACAGGTGTATATATATAAATATATATATATATCACAGCAACAGCAGTACCATATATAAAAAATGAGGTGACGACCATAAGTATGATTGTCATGTCCGTCGATGATAACTTAAGATAACACAATATTCTTTCTATTGTAGAATCGTCGTCTTAGTTTTTTCTGCCTTACTCCGTGTCAATGTTCAGCGGTGTTCCTCAACAAGGCACGTAACAGGTTCACCAAGGAGCCAGCGGGTCGCTATTGTTTACAAAATGTTGACAACTACCTGAGCAATATATTTATCAGGTATCTTAAAGTCAATTATCAGTGTCCTCAATACATCAAGTACAATATGTGTCCAGTAATGAATCTGAGCTATTGTAAGAAGTACAGTACAGTTCCTATAATGTTCAGAACAAGTCAGTAATAGTTTCACCACCACACACCTCTCGAGGACCCACAACAACAAACAGCTTAACGTGGCCAAAGTTTCGGGTGTGTGTAACTTTCACCCTGTGGCCTGGTGCATGATGACGAGCTCCTCACTCAGTCCTCAACTCATCTGTGGGAGAGAAGGTTACTTCGTGAGTACTGGCAGGTCTGTGTATCCAGTTAATGGATATATGGTATGTCCACACACACACACACAATAAATATATCTTGTCATAATCTATATTCTATACATATAAATTACGTACTATATATTCGGCGTCACTATATAGTGAAGTATATTTAACTCTTTACAGCAATGATCAGCGCCAGGGGTCACTACCTCAACTACCCTGGTCTATAAAACAAATACATCAAAATTACAATACAAAATATTTTTTTTCCGGCTGGAGTCACCAGTGTTAGCACAGTGGAGGAGGACGCTTGACACCACTACAGATACCGATTTTATAAAGCTCCATCTGACCCAACCTGTGACGCCCTTACACGACTGGCGGGATAGTGACCCAGCGTCTGTGGTGACCCCTAATGGTGTTCATCTTATATTATCCCATTAACTTCACTCACACTGACCGAAGGTGACCTACCTCACACTGAGCTCTCCTTCTGGTTGCTCATGAGGGGGACGGTCGCCTCGGTGTCACAGGGATGAGGGTCTCGTCTGAGGGAGTGCCTCCGCCCTATGGACGCAGACGAGGGCGTCCAGGAGGCTTGTTGTGGGTGTCCAGAATGAGGGGGCGCAGATTGGTGGACGGTGTGGGTGGGCGAAGGGATGACGGTAGATTGGTGTGGGTAGGCGGAGAGCTGCTGGTGAGGAGGTGGGTAGTGGGTGTGGCAGTGGTTGTCGTCTAAGTTGCCATGAGCCACTATGTGAGGGTCGTGGTGCTGGGTCGTGTGTGTGGGCGTTTTGGGTTGTGTGTTGGGGCAGTGAGGATGAATACTTTGGGTGTGTGTGGAGGGGTCACGGAGGGGCTGTATGTTGGGGTTGTGGGGGAGAAGTGTGTGTGTGATGGGGTCGTGTGGGGCGGCGGCGGGGACGGTGCCACCTAGCCTCAGTTCATTGTATTGCATGTCGTCTCCACCACACTGCTGCTGGGGGAGAACCACAGCAATGTTACAGAAACCCCGCGGTGATGTGCCCCCTACAGGACGTCACACACACACACACACGCACACACGCACACACACACGCACACACACACACACACACAGCGCACACACACACACACAGCTACCTTCAGACAGTCTCGCCCTCATCTAAACATCACCTTTACACATCAACACTCACCTGGTAATTAGCAGGAGTGGACAGGTGTGAGGGCCTGGGTAGTGAGGCGTAAGTGGTGGGCAGTGAAGCGGAACTGATGGTGGTGACGCTTCCAACCACCCAAGACTCTGCTCCTGTGTGTATAATTGGCAGATGGTGAGAGTGTGGCAGATGATGAGAGTGTGGCAGATGATGAGAGCGTGGCAGATGATGGGAGTGTGGCAGATAATTAGAGTGTGATGAGAGGTGGCAGATGATGAGTGTGGCGATGGCAGATGATGAGAGTGGCAGATGTGAGAGAGTGGCAGGGTAGATGGTGAGTGTGGAGTGTGGCATGAGATGATGATGAGAGTGTGGTGGCAGATGATGTGAGAGGCAGATGATGGTGAGAGTGTGGCAGATGACAGAGATGTGGCAGAAAGATGAGATGTGGCAGATGATGAGAGTGTGGCAGATGATGAGAGTGGGAGTGTGGCAGATGATGAGAGTGTGGCAGATGGTGAGAGTGTGGCAGAGATGATGATGGGAGTGTGGCAGATGAGAGGTGGCAGAATGGCAGAGGTGGCAGATGGCAGTGATGGCAGATGAGAGGTGGGTAGATGATGAGAGAGATGTAGATGATGGGAGTGTGGAGATGATGGCAGATGATGAGAGGTGCAGATGAGAGGTGGCAGATGAGAGCAGATGATGAGAGTGTGGCAGATGATGAGAGCGTGGCAGAGGATGTGGCAGATGATGGGAGTGTAATGGAGATGTGAGAGTGTGGCAGAGATGAGTGTGGCAGATGTGAGAGTGGGGCAGATGATGAGAGGTGTGGCAGATGATGGGAGAGATAATGAAGGGGGGCAGAGAGATGATGAGGTGGCAGATAATGGAGTGATGAGAAGGTGGTGATGGTGAGAGTGTGGCAGATGATGAGAGTGTGGCAGATGATGGCAGATGTGAGAGGTGGCAGATGATGGAGTGTGTGCAGATGTGAGAGGGGGCAGATGATGAGAGGTGGGTAGATAATGAGAGGGGCAGAGATGAGAGTGTGGCAGATGGTGAGAGTGTGGCAGATGATGAGAGTGTGGCAGATGATGAGAGTGGGGCAGATAGTGAGAGATGATGAGAGTGTGGCAGATGATGAGAGTGTGGTAGATGGTGAGAGGGTGATGTGAGAGTGTGGCAGATGATGGGAGTGGCAGATGATGAGAGTGTGGCAGATGATGAGAATGTGGCAGATGATGAGAGTGTGGCAGATGGTGAGAATGTGGCAGAGTGGCATGAGAGTGTGGCAGTGAGAGGGTGGCAGATGATGAGAGGTGGCAGATGCAGATGATGAGAGTGGCAGATGAGAGTGTGGCGAGAGTGTGGCAGATGATGAGAGTGGGTAGATGAGACAGATGAGAGTGTGGCAGAGATGGTGAGATGTGTGGGAGTGTAGATGGTGAGAGGGGACAGATGATGAGAGTGTGGCAGATAATGAGATGCAGATGATGAGAGTGTGGCAGATGATGATGAGAGAGTGTGGCAGATGTGAGAGTGGCAGATGATGAGAATGTGGCAGGAGAGTGGGGCAGATGATGAGAGATGTGAGAGGTGGCAGATGATGAGAGTGTGGCAGATGATGAGAGTGGCAGATGATGAGAGTGTGGGGATGGTGGCAGATGTGAGGTGGCAGATGAAGGCAAGATGGGCAGAGGTGATAGATGGTGAGAGTGTGGCAGATGGTGAGAGGTGGCAGATGAGAGGTGGCAGATGGTGGCAGATGGTGTGGGTGATGATGGGAGTGTGGCAGTGAGAGTGTGGCAGAGATGGTGAGAGTGTGGCAGATGGTGAGAGGTGGCAGATGGTGAGAGGTGGCAGATGGTGAGAGTGTGGCAGATGGTGAGAGTGTGGGCAGATGATGGGCAGAGTGTGGCAGATGTGGGAGTGTGGCAGAGATGATGGGAGTGTGGCAGATGGTGGTGAGAGGTGAGAGTGTGGCAGATGGTGAGTGTGTGGCAGATGATGAGTGTGGAGATGGTGATGGGTAGATGATGAGAGCAGATGATGAGAGGTGGCAGATGATGAGAGTGTGGCAGATGGTGAGAGTGTGGGTAGATGGTGAGAGTGTGGCAGAGAGTGTGGCAAATTATAATGACCTCATGACCAGGAGATATTATTTAGTTCCATCTGTCCTGTATTCTTTTGTCTCATTAACTTTTTATCAGTGACGTAGGCGGTGAATATTATAGTTTCCATAATTACAGGTTAAACATAAAGGTGTACTTTCTCCCGGTAAAAATCATTAATTAGAGCAGGTTGTTGAACCTTCATTTATACATTCATTAAATATTGCGACGAGAATGATCTGAGGTGAAGCTTTCTTATTATAATTTATATTTTCTGTATTATTAGTATATTATTAGCTCTTGGTAGTGTTAAGGACAGGTAGAGTGTGTTTCTGCATTACCCAAAATTTTATATATATATATATATATATATATATATATATATATATATATATATATATATATATATATATATATATATATATATATATATATATATATATATATATATATATATATATATATATATTGTTCGTAAAGGGTTATATCCATTAATTAATTCGCATTTAGTCCCGGATTTTTTGGGGCTTAAAAGAGAAAAAATCTTTTTATATATGCAGCAACACAGTGTTGCCAGAGCGACGTATCCTTGGCGGGATAACAGTAATTTTATTTCGTAGCCCAACGCTGACTAATCCTAACTTGTAGCTTTATTATGTACTGTACTGCACTGCACTGTACTGTACTGTACTGTACTGCACTGTACTGCACTGTACTGTACTGTACTGTACTGTACTGTACTGCACTGCACTGTACTGTACTGCACTGCACTGTACTGTACTGCACTGTACTGTACTGTACTGCACTGTACTGCACTGCACTGCACTGTACTGCACTGCACTGCACTGTACTGCACTGCACTGCACAGCACTGTACTGTACTGCACTGCACTGCCCCATACTGTACTGTACTGCACTGTACTGTACGTCACGTCACGTCACGTCACGTGGAGGTCCTACTCGTCCAAGTAACTGAAGGCTACATGTTAATGGGCCACATGTTACCGAGCCTAACTGACTCGTGTTAATGGTCAGGGTTGAATCCACTAGTTCTAAAGTCTTCTAGAAACTAGACCAGTGACCTACCTGAAGAAGCTGAGGGAGGAGCCACGTCCTTGAGGGTTGTGGGGGAGATTTTGGTGTCCTCCTCGCCGCTTAATGGATCCTGCGTTTCCGCCCGTCCACACTGTCTGCTCCTCCGCCCGTATTGGAGCCTAACGAGGGCGCAGATGACACCTACCACTAGCAGGAGGCCGCCCAGCACGCCCACCACCACGGCGACGATGGGTTGCACCAGCAGCTCCTCCTTCTGTTGCTTCTCGGGTGGCGGCGACGGCTTTACTGCGGCTAAGGTTAGAGGAGTCTTTGTCTGTCAGTCTTTTTGTGTCATTAGAGTGAGAGACATAAAACAAACAAACAGATAGACAGACACACAAGCATACATCTATTATAACCTGGTCATGAAATCGTGATTCTTTTTAGTAAACTTCCTGATCAAAACTCCCCAACAGCAGCAGCGAACAGTGTGTGTGTGTGTGTGTGTGTGTGTGTGTGTGTGTCGCGCCTCACAAATATTGACACACAGAGCGGGGGATCAAGCATAGTAGCAGTTCGCGTACGGATTCCTGTATACAGGATACGAGTATATATGCCTGTAGACGCTTTATGTATGTATAGCAGTGTCAGATATACACTTACTGTGTCTCTGTTACAATACATAACTGTTTGCTAAAAAAAAGTTTATATATAATAACAAAATACTACAAAACTACATTAACATTTTGTAATTTAATAATAGGTAAAGATAACTTTTAACTAGCAAAAAAAAATATATATATTTATATATCTTTTATTTAGAGAAACAAACTCGTCAGATGATTACAAGTAAGAATTGTTGATACATTAAAACAGCTTTTTTTTTGTCATTATTCGTGGTTTTGGTGACGTCTTGTGTCCATGAAATCTTGTGGTGGTTAAACAGACATGGAGAAGAACGTTCATTTGTGCATCATGTTTGTTTTATTTCTTCCCCTCAGCAATGACTATGAGAGAGTTATACACGACAATTATTTTAGGGTTGGGTTGGGTTGGGTGGGGTGGGGTTGGGTTGGTGGTGGGGTTGGGTTGGGTTGGGTGGGGTTGGGTTGGGGTGGGGTGGGTTGGGGTTGGGTGGGTGGGTTGGGTGGGGGTTGGGTTGGGTTGGGGTTGGGTTGGGTGGGGTGGGTTGGGTGGGGTTGGGTTGGGTGGGGTGGGGTGGGGTTGGGTTAGATACCAAAACAGGCTTTAGTGTTCATCACTACTACTACTTTACGCTGTTTCCTGTTCGTTGTGTCTCTAAAAATCTTATGAACACAAGTCTCTATGATACCTCAGTATTTATATCTGTCTAAAATGTCCAGTTAAAATATACGCTAGAGGTCTTTCAAGGATTAGGCTGAAATCTTCCCAAAACGGATCATATCACGATGAAGTGTTAACGACTCTGGTAATAATAACTAATCAACAAGGATGTGTATTTCTGATTTATTCTACCGTGTATATTGTAAAAAGCTGTTATGATAAAACTTTAATCTTTACGATAGCTTTAATTGTGACTAATTAAGAAAATATGTAAATGGTAGTTCTATATTCCCGTTTTTTTATTAATAGTACAAAAGACATAAGACTGTCACGTGTGCTGCATCAAGAATGGTTACAAGAGCTTGGTGTTCCGGGTCACGTGTGGGTTTAAGTGAGAGTTTAGGGATAGTGTACAGTGTGTGGTTATGTCTCGCCTTTGATCTCCCGGACTCAGCAGGATCCGAATAAAACAGAGGAGGAAAAAAGTATTGATAAAGAAGTAAATAGAGAAGGTTGGTTGGTTTAAGAGGAAGAGAAACGTAAAGTAAAAAAACAAAAGCTTTGCTCCTGGCGAGCATTTAGAAAAAAAAAAAATCAGTGGCCAGGATAAGAGGCTCCTATCATCGGGGCAACACACACATGCAAAAAAGTTTAATTTTACTGCTGCAGTATCTTCTGAACTGACCTGTGCGTTTTTCGGCGAGGTCTTTGATAGTGTAGACGTGGAGGGAGAGGGTCTCGGCACGGCCCTTATTGTTGTAGGAGTACACCCGGGCCCTGAAGGTCATGCCGGGGGGCAGCCCCCCCACCGTGAAGACTGGAACCTGTACAAACACCAACTTAACAATACACCAACACACTCACGGGTGTATATATATATATATATATATATATATATATATATATATATATATATATATATATATATATATATATATATATATATATTGTGAGAACCGTTTTCTTTGCTTGGTCCATGAATACTTCATGGATGGTGCCTCTCAGAATTCTCCGTACTGGTGCCTGGGGAAGCCTTGTAAACACACATTCAAAGGACTACTCTTGCCTCAACTCACAATGACGGTTTTTATTTTTATTATATTTTTTGTCCCGTGGTGGAAAGAAATATACAGAAGTTTTATCGCAATTGAAAAAAAAGTCACACTGAATAGTGCGGCTGATCATTAGTGATGAAGTTTAGTAGTCTTCTGATTACTGAGTGAGATCTAATGAACTATCAGGTAAATTATGCATTTCCAGGTGTCTCTCTACTCTCGTATTACAAGTTATAAACATTTATTCATAACGCCCACGGTAAATTATAGCTTAAATAACGACTGATTATATTTGTATACCTTGTTAGTCCAATTAGTGTTGTAGACGAGCCTTAACGGATATTGTGTGTCAGTGAAGTGTAGTGAGGAATATAAACATAACCTTTTATGCTCTCCGTCATTATAGGAGGAGGCATGAGTTGGGGACATGAACAAATATCCTAGACATTCCTGAACAGCGAACCTCAGTGTACAGCCCACATGAAGGGTGACAATAACACGATAAATCCCCACTAATAAAACCCATTCCCGGGATGTGGGTCATGACATGCTAGTAAAAAAAGACTTAAATTTAAACTGACTTATTAGACTTGGTCGTTAGGCGATGGAGTTACCCAGTGTAGACCTTCAACAAATATATAAGGGACTTCTTGGCCTGAGGTTCTCGACTGGCAGATAACCCTCGACACACAGAAAAAAATAATTAAATTCGACTCACTGGGCTGCTGGGGGCGTTGGGGCTGACAGGAGACCGCTATCAAACCAACACAAGAGCGGGTGGGAGAACAGGAGACACCTCAACCCCACCCACTCTACCCCACCTCACCCAACCCACCCCAACCCACCCAACCCGACCCAGCCCACCCTATCCCACCTCACCCCAACCCATCCCAACCTAACCCAACCCATGAGAATAAAGTCGACTTACCAGACTGGACGCGTTGGCTAGGAGGTGATCGACCCCTGGCTGGTACAACTCCAGGATGAAAGTCTGAGGCAGCCCACCGTCGAACCCGGCCACACAGCGCACGTTCACCACAGTCACTGATAGGTTGTACACTGAGCAGTTGTGTACTGGATCAGGGTGACCTGGTGAGGGGGAAGAGAGACATAGAAGTAGGTGACCTGGTGAGGGGAGAGAGAAGTGTGGAGTTGGATCGTATGATATTAGGTTAGGTTAGGTGACTGACTGAGGGGTAAAGACCTATGAAATCAAGTGAGCGAGTGAGGGAAGGGAGACAGATGAAGACAGAGCAACAGGTGTAAATATGAGCAATACATACAGGTGTGTACAGGTAAATAAGGCAGAACAACAGGTGTGTACAGGTCAATAAGACAAACAAGTGTGTACAGGTGAAAAAGACATAAAGGTATACAGACCTGCAGGGAAGACATGGAAGATACAGGGGTGTCGCTGCTGGCCTACAGAATTGATGCCCCAGCAGAGCAGCGTCCCGTAGTCAAGCTCTGTGTTGGGCGTGTAGCTCACTGTCGACCGAGACCCAGCCACCAGAATATGGTCCTGACACACACACACATGGCAGGAGGAGAGGTAGTGTTAGATTCCGATGTACACACACACACACACACACACACACACACACACACACACACACACACACACACATGGCAGGAGGAGAGGTAGTGTTAGATTCCGATGCACACACACACACACATGGCAGGAGAGGTAGTGTTAGATGATGCACACACACACACACACACACACACACACACACACACACACACACACACACACATGGCAGGAGGAGAGGTAGTGTTAGATTCCGATGCACACACACACACACACACACACACACACATGGCAGGAGGAGAGGTAGTGTTAGATTCCGATGCACACACACACACACACACATACACACGCGAGCGAGCCAAGAATAAACACAGAAATTACAGGCAATATAGTGTACATTTCGAGTACTACAAACGTCTACATAACTCTTTGAAGTTTGTAGTAAGAAACTTTGTTGGTTTAACTTGGGAGGAAATATGTCGTTTTAGTATGCGAATATCTGGTGTCCAGTGTCCAATATTTTGTGAACTTTTTCCGGGTTAAACGTTTGTCTTTTTTTCGTGTATATGTTTACATAAAAAAAAACAGTACGATTGCGTGAGCTAAGTTGTTTTTAGATTAATAATATTGATACGTTTTAAAGAAGAAAGTCAAGCTTTTGGGAATAATGAACGATATTCAGTGAATCATTCTCCTCCCCTTTATAACTTATCACATTGTAACCCAAATCAATAATGAAGTGTATCGTCTCTGTTACTTTAGTAGTATATATGGACATATTCCTGCTTCAGCTTCGACTGTGGTGGCCAAACTTAGTATATGTACGTCACTGGTCTCCACTGGTCTACACTGGGGGCTTTAAAGGGGTGGCAGTAAGATGAGATTGCATTTGTGGGAGAAAGGGAGGAGAGGAGAGACTCAGAGGGTAAAACACAACAATAAACAGTGCGCCTGTTTATACTTCCTTCTGCCATACGGGAAGTTAATATTATATTGCTTTACTGCGACTTAACAACTAAGGGTTTCAAACACGTATTATTGGTGAGAATATAAACTAGTCATTAACAATTATAGATTGAGAGAGGTTTTCATCTGTCTGGTGTTAGAGAGGGAGACCCTGAGTAGGGCCAGTGGTCCCTGAGGGTGGAGTTGGAGTGACACGAACATGATGGTTCTTTTAAGGGAGTGAACAGGACCCTAGGCGGCAGGCAGTTATAAGAGACAGTCTAATCAATTTGTTCCAGGATGTTACCCGGTAATTGGACACTTCCACTATTGACTCTGGACGTATAGTTTCTGAAACAGTCAAGTGCGTACATCTGTAGTTACGTTTGTGTGTAGATGGTCGGCTGTTTACATACGTAGGTGTAGTCTTCTTGGTACATGTTTATTCTGTGTATATTTTTCGGCGAATCATTCTTCCTCAACACAGAGTCGATACAAACTAACTGACGTACCAAAGGAAAATTACCAACAATACCTTGGCCAACGTCACCTGAACTCTGGACGGAGTGAGGTCACAGAGGTGAGGGCGGAGCTAGTTTATATATACTGTGTACAGAGTGAGAGAGAGAGTGAGTCACTTTTTAGAGAAGGAATCATTCGTAACCACTATCACCACCACCGCTGTGGCCAATTAACAATTAAAAATAAACCTTCATTACATACACGCTAGCACCGTGGAGGGGTCACTCATGGGGTCAGGTCACGCACGACACAATGACCCAGCCAGCAGGCAACCTCTAGTGAATCGGCGCAACAAATAATGTAATACAGAAAACAAGTGAATAACATTAACAAGGATCCTCTACGATATAAATTTTAAACGAATTAAAGGAAAATGTTGGAGGTAAATAAGAGAAATGGAATTGCGACGGGTGAGGCGTGACCTACCCGAGGGAGGTGCAGGAACTAATGCGTGTGATTTACCTGAAGTAGGTGTAGGTGCTTGAAGAGGGATGGTGTGATTACAGTTAGGATGATGACTTACCTGTTGGAGGCGTGGTCGTGGGTGTACATGTCTTACCTGGGAAATGTCAACACTCTCCCCGCTGTTGTTGAAGGTCCAGCGGAAGGCCGTCGGGGTGGGATATGAGTCCAGATCACAAGGGATGTTGACCTGTTCGTACCTGGCGGCGCCGTGGTAGGTCATCTTATTATTACGGCATACGGGGGTGTCTGCTGGGGGAGACACGGTTACCAGGGTGCTGGCCGGGTGAGAGCAAGGATATGTTGACCATCATCTAACGCAGTGTATTGCAAAATGAAACGCCGATTTACGCTGTGACAGTAATTGTATCTATAAATTATACTTTTCGTAATGTACATTTTATATACATGGAAAAAACTGTATTTACAACATATATTAGGTGGTTTTAATGGACCCTATATACAAGAGAACACTACACACTTTACGAATGAAACTCAGAATCTGGAGAAAAAAACATAAAATGAACCTTATACACACTGGGATCAAGGTACAAACTCAATATCTGAAGCAAAAAAAAAAAAAGAAAAAGAAATGTAACTCACTCACGTTTACAAATAATCATCGAGTCATGAAAATAACAAATTAACCGTGGAATGTGTCAGAAGGGTGGCGAGCGAGGGGAGGCTGATAGAAGTGTGAGGGGAAGAGGGGAAAAATAGGAGGACGTGTGTCAGAGCAAGTGGAGGAATCATTGATGAGGTGGATGGGCAGTAAGGGTGAGACGCCGGTCGTGTGTGTACCTGGTCCTGGCTAATTTAGTGTCTTCATTTGGAGGTGTGAGGGATGCTTTAGGTGTGTCATGTGTCACCCTAGTTACTGACTATACCTGTGTCATGTATCACCCTTGTTATTTAATTTCTGTAGATGATGTAGCGATGGAGGTTCTGCCTGTTGGTAATGTCTCAGGAGTTACTCAGTACCTCACGATGGATTAGTAATGACGTTCCTGGTTGAGTGGTTGAGTAATTTTTATGTCCCTGTGTTTGATGAGTGTCTCTAGTGAGGAACCAGTGACAGAAGTTCATGGCTGGGAGTCTCTCTGTTTCTGTGGGTAATGTATGACCAAAACAATGGCATTGACGGGAATTCCAACACATTATCTTATTTTTTTGTTAATGGACAAACATGGAGGTTTAAAGTCGCTGGTAATATCACGAGAGGACTGGAAACTAAGGACAAAAAAACATAAACGAGATGGAAAAAGGAAATCTGGACTCAGGTTGTGGTAAATGTGTGTGTGATATGGCTTAAGGTAAGCAATCAACGATTTAGATAACTTTAATAACGTTATTAAAGCTTTCGTTCAGTAGATTATATATCATGGCCTCGTAGGATAACTCACCGTATCTGTTTGTCTGTTTCATATTGTCTAGTGTGAAACCTTCATATAACGGACTTATCTCTTTTTAATAATCCGTTAGATGGAGGTTTCACACACAATGGATCCTCGATATAGTGAACTTTCATCTCTATACTGTCAGTTATATAGAGCTTTCACTCTATCTCACTTATCAAGCTTCACCATCCATTAGTCTACTATCATTAAGATAAGTAACCCGCCGGCGTCTCTCTCTCTCTCTCTCTCTCTCTCTCTCTCTCTCTCTCTCTCTCTCTCATCAAACAGTGTCTGCTTTTAACTCGTTAAGTCTGTTAACTCAACTGAGCGAGTCCACTATAAACCCGACCATTAAAACCTGTAATTTCACTCTCTAGTCTCCCGTCTGCACACGAGGAACAGTTTTCAGAATAGTTAGACAGAAGCTCTCCAACTATGTGTCAATTTAAATCACGCTTAATTCCTGGATCTGGGTGGGCGTCACTCAGGCCAGATGGTGGAGCGAGGAGCTGCCTAAAGGTTGGTGTATTAGTTGTTATGAATATTGTGGGTTTAGTTATATATTTGATTAGTTTAATTAATGGAATCGGTGAAGTGTTTTATTTTGTTTCATCGGCAGAATCGTACAAACGGGCGTGTTTAATAATTTAACCACAATTTTTTTTTTTTTAGTTTTTTATCAATACACCCACATTTTTTTTCAAGTAAACATAGAAGTGTAAATTTACATAAACATAGACAAGGGATTTTTTTTTTATAAATGAACTCCAAAAAATCTGTGTTTATGAACCACAATCCCAAAGAAAATTACAATTGTACAAATTTACAAAAAAATTCTATGAATCTGAGACTGAGTCAATTTACTCCCTCAATATGATGAGTGAACTAAATATCATGTTTCTCCAAGGAACATATACCTCTTATCAGGATCTACTTATAAGAAACACTGATAAAAACAAACTTCTTTTAGGTTTAGCTGATAAAAACACTTGTGGTGGAATAAGGAAACACTAAGACTGTTCTCATATTGGTAAAACAAAACGCCCAGTATACGAAGAGAACAAACACACACAGCGGAAGCTTACCAAGAGCAGAATTAAACGAAAATAATAATAATAATACCAAGTTAAAATCTAAAGTGTACACGACTAAATGGTTTTTAAAATAAACAACTGAAATCCATTATGAAAGATGATGATGATTATGAAGACGATTAAGAAGAAAAGAAAAATAATGAAGAAAACTGACGAAGAAGACGAAGAAAATGATAACGATGATGATGACGACGAGGAGCAACAACAATAACAGCAAGAAATAAAGAAAAAGAAGAAGACGAAGAAAATTATGATGACGATGATGAAGAGAAAGAAATAAAAGAACAAAATACAAAGAAAAAAACTCACAGTAAAAAAAAAAAAACTTTATGTAGTGCACTCTAGAGAAAGAGACAAAGAAACAATCGACGGACGGAGTTTAGAGAGGTCTCAAAATTTTAAGTATGTGTTGAGAAGAACACTCGGTGACGGCAGCTGAATGGAACCTGGAATCACGGGAATAGTTTTCTGAAAGGCTGGAGAGTTTGGTGGTGGTGATAGTGGTAGCGGTGGTGGTGGTGGTAGTAGTGATGGTGGTGGTGATGATGGTGGTAGTGATGATGAGGAGGAGGAGGAGAGAGAAGAGGAAAGACAGCAGGTGTGAGAGTATTTAATTTTTGTTGTAACCTGTGAATGTGAGAGAGTGAGCGAGTATGTTTGGATTTTTCTGAGAGGGTCTTCACAGAGAGAGAGAGAGAGAGAGAGAGAGAGAGAGAGGTGATAATATATTAGAATTATTTTGAATAAGAAAACAAAGGAGGAAGAAAAAGAAGGAAAAGGAAATGGAGAGAGACGAGATAATAATGAAGAAAACAGTTGAAAAAGAAGAGGAGAAAGGAAGTAGACAAAGAAGAACAAGAAGAACAAAGATCAGAGAATAAAGAGGAACAAACGTCTGAAGAAGAAGAAAAATGAAATGAAGACGAAGAAGAAGGCGATAACAAGAATAACAGCATTAACAGGGGGCAATAAATACGAAAGGAAAATAAGTAAAAAAATAAGAATGATAAGAATGGAGAAAAGGAAAGAGATGAAAAAGAAGCAATAAAGGGGAAGAAGAAACAGGTTATAACAGCAACGAGTCAGAAATACTCTTGGGATTCTTTTCCACCCTTTCATTTATTCCTCTTGTCACTTTGCTATCCCCCTCTTTCGTACATAACAAGTTTCTTCATTGATTAACATTCACGTTTACACCTTTCGTTGATGGTGACACAGTCAACTTTCTTTTACTTTCTTAACTTTCTTTTTTTTACATCTATATTTAACGCTATTTTATATTTGTTTATTGATATTTTTACAGGTATTGTTTTTAGAGATTTTTTGTACTTTCACTTTTACATTTCGTTTGCTTTCACTTTTTGGTCTTTTTTGTTCTCACTTTTTAGCTTTTTTTGCTTTCACTTTTTAGCTTTATTACGGTAACTTTTAAGTACTTTTATAATCACTTTTAACTTTCTTTTTCTTCTCTCCATAACTGTCATTTACTTTCACTTTTTGCTTTGTTTTACATTTACAGTTAATGTAACATTCACTCTTATCTTCTGTACCACTCATTCTTAGCTTCTGTAACAGTCACTCTTAGCTTCTTTAACATTCACAGCTTTTGCAACAATCACTCCTAGCTGCATTAATCTTCACTCTCAGCTTTTAACTTGAGTCGTAACTTCTTAACATATAGTCTTAGTTTCTTTACCTCTTACTGAGTCGACTAATTAGCTCCCTCAGTTCTTCATCAAAGCTCAAGACTCTTACCATTAGCCCCCGTGAGTTATGCTAATTCTTAATTCTTCCCAGATTATAATTGTCCCGCGTGTTGGCAAAAATAGGAAAATTTTATCTTTTTTTCTGCAATTTTCTGGTAAATAAGTGATTTTTGTTGTTGTTGTTGTTGCTCTATAGGAAAATGATTAGCGGGTGTTTTTTTTTTTGGGGGTTGTGCAGGAAAATAATGTATGGGTGTTTTTTCCTTTTTTTATGGAAAATGACAAGTAACTTTTTATTTCTTTGGTTTCTGCAGGAAAATTATGAGCAGCTATCTTGTCTTTGTGGTGTTTATAGGAAAAATATGACTAGCCATTTTTCCCATTAGTTCTGCAGGAAAATGACTAATATCTATTTCCATACGACGCATCACACACCCCGTCGACAATCACTCACCCTTCTCCGTAACCTTACACAAACATGTCCCGACCTCAAGTCTCCCAGAATTCTTTTATTCCTCTAAGTGGATTTTCGACTTCCTACTCCACACACACTCTTAAAAACTTCCTCCGCCATTGTTCGACCAATCCTTTCCTCAAAGTCTTCGAAATCAAAATAAGTTTCAAATGATTTTTTTTTCGATCCCATTTTTAAACTATTACCTTCAGTTACTTTTTCGACTTTTTTCCAAATTTATTTTTTATTTTTTTCTCATCCACCTCCAGGACAGGATGGAGTTTCCCAGCCCCAGTCTCCTCACACGTCTTTTTCTTCCATTCTTCTTGCATTCCAGCTAACTACGTCTTCTCCCATCCATTCCGTTTTACCATCCAGGAGAATACCTTTCCTTCCCCACATCTTTTCCCTCTAAACTTCTCATCTTCAAAAAAAAAAAAAAAATGCTTTCTATACCACGTCCGTTCCCTTTACAGTCTTTTTAATTCTCTGAAGAACAAATTTCTTCACCTCGTCTCTCTCCCCCTCTCTCTCTCTCTCTCTCTTTCTTTCTTTTTCTTTTCTTTTCCATAAAACAGAGGCAACTAACCACCCCACG